AGATGGAAATGTGTATATATAGTACTTGAATGATCACTGAGCCAAATGAGACTTCAAATTAGAGATATTGTTGGGGAAGGATCAAATACGACAGTATCTCTTGGGATACAGGGAAAATAAACTTTTTTTTTTTTCTAGAAATGTAGAAATAATATTGAAGTATCCAGAACAAAGAGGAAAAAAAGAACAATCCTCTGAAATTTTTTTAAAAAAAGGCATCTGTCATTAGCACAAGGAAAAAAGGCAGCAAAGTGGGACTGTAAGCTAAAGGGATGTGGCTCAGGAGGAAAAAGAAACCAGGTGAGCAAGAGAGAAAGATGAACCCTAAAATAGGAGACTGGTATTAGATATATCATAAAAGATAGAAGAAAACAGTAAGAGGATTAGAAATTATAACAATCTGGAGCAGGAGCTGAGACATACTGGTGCAAGAATCTGAATTGGTTAGACTGGATAAACTAAAACTTAAAGCAGAGGTCTGAAAAATAGTTGAGGAGATTGGGACTTCAATAAAGGTGATGGATGGAGTAGAGCTTGTGTGGTGACAGGAACAGACAGGACAACAGAACAGTGTGTAGAATGCACTAGTGACAATAAAAATCAAACCAAATTCCTAAGTCCTGCCATCATTTATCTATGCAAAACCAACTGGCAGTGTCTCCCTCGAGCACAATACCATGCAGAGAAAAGTAGCTGTTGCTTAATCTGCTATTAAATGCATGAGGTGCTGGAAACAAACCTTCCAGTTTTTCCGTGTATATATGCAGCTATGAGAAACATTTTGATGTCATAGAATAGGAGTCATTGCTTTGAAGAAAAAGCAAATATAAAAAGTGCACATACACACACAAACAATTCAGAAGATCTATGGGATTAGAAATTCGAGTAATATCCTGTTACACAGGTAACTTTATCTTGCCTGTGCTTGAACATTAAAAACACAGTTTAAGGAAAAAACTTATTTCTATTTTCCTAGTCTTTATTTGACAAAGCATTGCACACCCATAACAATTTCTGAACCAGAGTGAACTAGTTCTGAAAATAAATAAGGCTTTTTCTTTGGAAGCTCATGCTGGCAAAATGGTCTTGATCCCAAGATACTGAGAGAAGGACTGACCTGTGTCTAGTACATGATTTATTTATCTTTTAATATCATGGTTCCCTGATTCTAAACTTGGGCAGGATAATTCAGTTCCCACAGCTTTCTTACTTTGAGTGGTTCTCCTGGTTTGTAAGACAAAGCTCCTGAGTCAAACAGAGATCTGAAGGGCAGTTCTATGGCTAGGAATATTATACTCATTGTAATTGGAGTCATATCTGGGGTTCACACCAGGAGCAAAAATCCTTTCATGTCTTATGCCAGAAGATCAGTCCCTAGGAAATCTGACAACTTCAAAGGTGTTGGTGTAAAGTTGCTAAACTTCACAAACAATGTTAGATAAAGTTCCCTATTCTAGATAGCATTGCATGTAACACTGTTTTGCCATTCATTTTAATTTGCTGTTGTTTAAATACCTGTCTCTAGCATCCATAAAGTATGTATGCATGCAGAAGTGATTTTTGTAAAGTTCTAGCGTCCCTTGCACCAGAAGTAATGAATTTTAAAACATTTGCATACTCATAAATAACACACATTATCATGAGCTTCACGACATGTTTTTTTTTTCCCTCATAGACAATTTACAGCCATTGCAAACAAGGAGTCTGAGAACAGCATGAGCTCATTGTTCTTTTCAGAAGGGCTTTGGGATTTCTAATGTCCGCAAAGTACTTAAGACTTAATCTTAGCGCTTACGCAGATCATTTCTTGCAGCACTGTGGAGAAAATAGAAATTGACAAAATAGCTCTTCTGAGATAAATAAACTCCAGATTTAATGCAGTTTGAAAATCAGGTGCTGTGGAGTAATGCTCCAAAATAGCTTCAAAGACAGTCACCCTTGCAGGTGCTGAATACTTGTGGCCCCTTTTCTCCTCATGCTTAGTTTCTTGTTTTTTATTGATTGTGTGCTCTGCTCTTCATTTTATCTTTCCTAGCAAATACCATCCAGCAAAACAAACTTGTTTAAAAATCCTGTTCTTACAACTTGGTTCCATTTACAGGAAAAAAGAGAAGTATACAGTCCTGAATGTTTTTAATGGCTCCCAGCAAAATATTTTTCTTACAGTCTTCACTCTTACTGTTATCTCCCCTTTCCTGATAAGTCTAGCTAAAGAAGTTTTTGTCAGATGACATGGATTACATTGTTCTGCTTCCTTTCATGTGAGCTTTGTTTCCCAGAATTTTGCCTTCTGTTGCATACAGTGCAGATTTGTCTTTTTTCCCCATCTATTGTTTGGCAGGTTGTTGACTTTGTTGTCATTGTAATGGGTATCTTAATGGCCAAACTGCTGTAGGAAAACATTTCAGAGAAATTGAACTAATTGGTATAGAGACTATGCCACCCAGAAAATGGCATGGTCTGTTGCCTCAGAGAACATCACTTGCTTTTCCATGTTTGTTTAGATAGCATATTTACTTGGAACATGTTCAGACTCCTCCTTAAAACATGAAGAAACTGTTGCAGCCATTCTTTACATCTATGAGACAAACTACATTTTAAACAGCTGAAAGACAGTAATCACTTAAGGTGAGCTTCAAAATTATAACCACATGCAATGTTTTGAACCAAATTTATGTCTTTCTAACACAATCATTGAATTTCTTCATATGTATTAAGAATATTAAACTCATGGACTATTGGTCACTAACACAACAGTAAAAAATTTTTACTTGGATAAAAAGTCAGCACTTGAATACAGGCAATTTCTTCCAGGGCATAAAGTCACAATCAGACCTGTATTGGATTAGTACAAGGTTTATCACTGAATTCGAACTGCAGAAGATCAAATTCAATATGGAGAATCAAATCTATCCTCAGATAAATGAGAACTAAATAAGAGATTTCAGGATTGACATGTGAAAATTTATAGAAATTAAAGTCATCTTAAAAAGCTGGACTAAGAAAACTGCATTGAGAGATTTCTAGCTTAATTTTTACTGAATGTCACCTGGCTTGCTGGAACCAATCTCTTCTCTTAAAGCAAAGTACCTCCCTCCAAAATCCATTGAATACAATGTGAGACTTAATTCTAGGTAGGAACAGGCCCCTCTAAGAAATCTCTAATACTAGATCATAGTTCATATCTTTCACTCATGAACCATCTGAATTCAGTAAGTAATGCTGGGAGTAGTTCTGTAGTTTGCAAGTGCTCATGGTCAGTAAGTAGAAAAGTTAGGCTGGAATACAAGACTATTTTGTAATATTCCTCATTTTTTAACCATAAATGAGAATTTGGACCCCCAAATAATTATTTCAGGATTAAAAAAATTCGCCTGAACACCTAAGAATGGCTTAGGATTCAGTATTACTGGGCTCTATGTATGGAGAAACCACCTTGAAATGGTGATATCTCCTGTGTAGTTGCAAACCAGTATTTAAAATACTTGAATCTCCTAGCAGGGAGTTGTGAAGAAAACAAACAAATCTTCCATTGAGAAATGATGATTCTGCTGTCGTACAAAAAACTGCTCAACAGTGCGATTACAGAGATTGCTATCTGGTTTCAAGATACAATGTTGTTTTCAATGACACAGTGGGACTATTTTGTTAGGCTACCACTGGGGGAAAAGGTTCCCATCATTGCCTTTGTTGTAGAATGTCTTAATCCTTTGTCAGGACAGAAATGTGACACAGACCCACAACTAAATACTTTTCTGTATTAGAAAATAATTAAGGATGTATTTTTAAAAAACGGGAGCAAACAACAATAGTAATATTTAAGCAATAATTAATAGTGGATTAATGAAGCAGGAGCTGGACACTTTCACGTTACATTTTTTCAAAGGAATACAACAGATAATCTAAAACGTATTTTGCATTTTAGGAATATCAATGCTGAGTTAAAATATACGTAGTTAATAAACATGGATTATGTTAAATAGTCCAAATTAAGTTTGTAATCAATTATTTCATTTGGAATACAAACTTTGAATGGTTATGCATGCAGTAATGTCTGTATACTTCATAGCCAAGAGTAACATTTTATTATTTGATCATAGTTCCATCTGATAAACATTAATATTCAAAAGTTGAAGACTTCTATTACATCTGTAGTATTGCTTTTTACATTCTGCAACTGAAAATATTTCCTGAAGTCAAGTAGATCCAGCATAAATTTGTACAACCAGCATAGATTTGCACTGGAAGTATGCATAATGATTTCCTATACCTTACAGTATTTTTGCATAGGAGCTTCTTTGTTGGTGCATAACTCTGGTTTGCTTCAAAATTTCTAGCAAGGCTGGAAATACGTGAGCAAAATCAATACATTACATTTGTATAGTAGCTCCTCTCTCTCTCTCTTATTTCAGGAAAGCAAGCTGTACCAGTAAGCAGAAGGTTTTGCTGGCAAGCTAAGGACTGCTGAGCACAGCCATGTAGGTCAGCAATCACATCCTCACAATCTCAGCCAAGACAGATGTAACAATTATTTATTAAAAAATTTGTTCTTTGCTAGAAGTAGAGACTAAGTGGTTTCTGTGAAAGGGGCAGCACTCGCTGTCACCTGTTGACATGGAATGTACAGCCTGCTTTTTCACTTTTCAGAGCAGCTTTTGTGTAAGATCCTGACATCAGACAAAACGTTTTTACTTCCTTAGTCTCAGGACACAATCTCTGAAACCGTGTCACTGCATGGTAACTTGTATGATCTTGTATGATACGAAACTACCCACACTTAATTATATTTTTCCAGCTAAATCATCTAAACTAGCATTTCTTTTCAATTTTGTTTTGTTTTGTTTTGTTTTGTTTTGTTTTGTTTTTTAGCAGCATTTACCTGTCACTGTGACAGACTTTAAAAAATTTCTGTCTTCTTACTAAGCTCTTTGCTACTGAATCCAGTGTCAGCAGCAGTTTGGGCTGCCTGAGAGTGACTGAAGGAGGAAAAGCTTTCTTACCTAATCGAACTGCTGCCAGCATCGAGGTCTTGTGCTGTCACTGCCCCTATGATTGTCCCCACGGGAGTGTCCTCATACACCTCCATTGTATACAAAGGCTTGCTGAAAACTGGAGGCTCATCCATGTCCAACACGTTTATCTTGACAGTGGCAGTGTCTTTGAATGGACCCACTGAGTGAAATCGATGGTCAAGATGGAGATTGGAAGCCTCTACTTTAAAGGTATATGCCTTCTTTGTTTCAAAGTCTAATGGCTGTGGAAAGAACAAAAGCAAAATATCAGCCCTGACTAAAAATTAAATTTTGCAAATTCACCGTGGTAGGATTAATCTGTTACAAATTAAGATGTCTTCAGTGTAAACTTCAGCTTCTGTACTGATAATTTAAATTTGTTTTGTAGTCACTGAAGAGGAATAGATAGGACATCTCATGCTAAGGTGGTTTCTGAAATAGTCTAGATTGATCTTGACTGCTTTTTCACATTAAAAAAAATCAGAATGACAGACATGGATGTAAACAGTTTCTGTAAATGTCTGAAATTAACTGTCTGAAGTTTACCTTTTGCAAAAGAGCTATGTGCATGCTAGTTGGAGATCAGCATTCACAATTTCCATGCACAGGCAGTAAGCCATCCCCAGTTGATCTAGTTCATTAACAGAAGATTTGAACTTCTTTTAGCAGAAAAGGGAAACATGACAACAATATAAATGATTTCAAGTGAAAACCCTGCTATAATAATGGGTCAAATCAACTTTCACATAAGACTTGCAGTGTGAATTCCTGTAAAACAGTTATCTTAGCAATGAACTGCTATTCAAGAGGTATATTTGAGAAGCACGTATGTGGAAAATGCAGTCTTTAGTCTGCCTTAAGATCCAAGGTATAACTGCTACCACCTTGAAGGCATCATAGCAGCTTTTGTACCTATCCGAGTTTTTGATGGAAATGCATTCTTCAGTCAGGTTGTTTTCATATGGGTTTATGTCAATATACGTCAATTTAGTATCTTTGGTTTTAGAAAAGCTATCATCTTGAAACCTCAATGCAGTGATATTTAGTTGAAAAGACACAAAAGCTTTATTTTCAGTTAAAGGGTTTTGCTGCATTGGCTTTCATGTTCTTAATATTAGTTAAGGAAGATTTTCCTGACATCTGGGTAAGACTGGCACCTAGTGGCTTCTGCCTATAATTGTCGAGATAGAAATTTTCCAAATGTGAAAGCATATCTAGAAAAGAGGGCAGGATCACAAGTGTAGGAGCTTTAACTTTTTTTTTTTTTTTAAATTTATTATTTTTTTCTCTAGACGTCATTACCACAGTGTTTCCAGCTATTTGTCACAGCTGGGATAGATTTAAATTATGCCATTTTCTGTCCTTTACACAACAAGACATAATTGACCAGATGCCTGGTTGGTGTAAATTGAGGCAGCGCTCCATTAAAATCAGTGGAGTTACTTTGATTTACATTTGCTGCGATGCTAGCATAATGCTTTAAAATCCTTATGAAAAACATTATAATTTTAATAGAATGCATGGTCAGAGTTGGGGATTTATAATTAGCCATTCTAGAACATATGTCCTAGAAATAATCTAGCTTAAAAGCCAAATGCTGCTGACCAATCCACTGTCACATGGAGCCATCCTTCTACAGATAAAATTCCCAGTAAAAGCCAGTATGAGTTCAAGCATCATGACTACAAGAAGAAACTAAGGCTAAGAAGCTAAAGGCGACAAAAACAAAACAAAACAAAACAAAACAAAAACATGGAAGGTCTTATTCTCAAGTGATGAATCCCTTAACTATTGCCTTTGCTACAAAAGGACATGCTGATTCACTGTCCAAATCGTTGTCATAGTCTTCTTTCAATTTCTATAATATTCATGTTCACTGTTGTATATTACCAAAAAATCCCCGCAAATGAGCAAGCAAAACAAATCCTTATACAGTAGATTGTAATATCTATTAAAAAATATTTTAGGAGAAGAAAACCTGGAGTTCACAGAACCAGTCTGGAGTGGAAAATAAGTAGTTAAGAGGGGTTAAGCTAGAGATAAAGATTAAAACAGAGTAAACAAGAAATCTAAGCTCCCGGATAAATAGTAATTCTAACTGATGCCTTGCTTGCATTGGCCATACCCCCTCAAAATGCACAAAACCTGATTCCTCTTATGCTCAAGTATATTTGAAGACAGGTGTGTTAGTAACAAGAAGCGATTTAAATGTGGTCCTTGAAGGCAGAGTTAAAGGCAGAAGTACCAGTTCCCGGTCCATGGGAATGCCCAGCACACAACTTTCATGATGTAAGGAACACAGTCCTTGTCTTGGGATGGACAGAAAGAAATAAAATTCCAGGCAGTTCTCGGCATATTTTACAGCACAGTATCTAGAAACCAGACACAGTTTCTGCTTTACTTATCTCTCCCAAGTACTATGAAGAAATGCTGTGGTACATTTTTGAAAAGACAGTTTGCCAAGAAAGAAACACATTTTCCCTTTGTAATGTAAGCAACCAGTTCTCTCCTTCTGTCCTCCTATGGACAGATAAATATAGTTGGAGGTTAAACAGTATTCAAAGCACAGATGGCACTCAAAATAAGAAGACACAGTCTGAAAGAGCTGAGCCATCACCACAGGAAGGAATCAGTGACAGACTCCCACAAAACAGCAGACTATAGCCTTTTAATATACAGGAGATTGACCTGCAGCTCACATGCCTGTGGAAAGGTGGGAAGACTGCAAGCAGTAAACAGGATTTAATTTCAAAATGAAAAATATTTTGTGCAACATGTCATGCAATAAATGAGTATGGTTTAAAATGATTGTGTTTGTGGGAAGGCCATCTTCTGATCAGTTCTGTACCCAGTTTTGCACGGTCGATCCATGCATATACATACTGACAGTCTCAAGTTTTGGCATTCATCTGTTATGCTTAGAGCCTGCCTTTGAAAACAGAAAATATTCAAAGTCTGCCTAGCTCTCAGAAAAACAAAAATGGGTTTTTAGTTTTGAAGATGTTAGAATAGCATTTATTTATATGCCTTATTTAATAGATTATCACTAAGATCTATGAAAGAAATGAGTGATTGAAACCTAATTTTAGCAGATAGTACCCAGTTCCATGTTCATTTACAGTCTGGAAAGCTGTTAAGGATACAAACCCAGTAGAACGTTAGGGAGAACGTTCCATTCTTAAAAAAAAAAAGGTCTTGAAGATTAAGATAAGAGATAATTATAGAAAAAAAACACAAAACATAACAAAAACAACAACAACAACAACAAAAAAAACAACTGTTTGACCAAGGCTTTCATTTTAGAATAAGTAGGATTTTTGCCCAGAGTAAACAGCACTACAGATAAAACTAAGGAAGCTTTTAACTATCTGTGGACTACTCAGCAACTATGGGAGTACTTCTACTTGATGCTCTATGTGCCAGTGTCAGAACAGATGTATGTGTCCCCCTCTATTCATTCTTGTCTTTTCTGTCGTGGCTTTAAGCTGCTCTATGTAGTTGCATAGTAAAATGCTATCAGCGTATACACAGCTGTGTGCAGCAAAGGTGTTTCACAAATCCCAAAATTAAATAACACATAAAGACAAATCATATTATCTTTCAGTCAGGAAGTACCATGAACAGGTTTGTTTAGTATAATTAGGAAAGCACAGAAAAAACTCTAGTTTAAAAATAAATTTCTTTGTAAACATTACAGTTTTCTGTACTGAAGATAGTGGTGAAGAAAGACTGATACATGCTTCTCATTTTATTTGTACTTTTAATGCATTTTGCATCTTGTATCTATATACACTTAGATTAAAGAACTGAAATAGAAAAAAAGGGACAAAAATATAATAAGTTCTAATGAGAAGCACAGCTAGGGCATAAAAAGGACTACCCTGTAAGTTTAGTCTTCACAAAGAGGCAGGGCTGAAAACTCCAGAAATTTCTGGAGACAATAATATTGTTTGTTATATAGCCATTCATGATCTACAACTACAACAACAGAAAAGCCAAGGAAAGAGACTGTAAATCCCAAGACCTATGATTAGTTATAGGCAGCAGAACTGTGTTCTGCATTGAGAGGAAGCAAGTGCTGTCTTAGACTTGTCTTCCATACTCTGTCTCATGTGCCTGTCAGAAAGCCTAGTAATGCTTTCCACTTAAAAATGGGCTGAGTTGTTATATGTGAAATGCAAGCTATTAGACCATTCGCTGCTGTGCACTGACACTTTTCACTAGTTGTATTTCTGCAATGGATTTTAAATAGCTTTAGTAAATAGCTAGTGCTACGGAGTATGTTAGTTAAAGGAATCTCTGGGTCAAACAGAAACATTCATCAGTTGTAGAGCTGAGAACACACAGTTTAAAAAAAAAAAAAAGAGAGATCTCTACAACAAACCTACAACAAGCGCAGCAGATCTGGTCAAATCTTAAGTGCTCAGACATTTAATGGAAAGTGGGTAAAATGAATGTGCGTTTTGTATGCAGAGAAGGGGAGAAGTCAACCAGCATCTGGGAATCTCCTGTTTGCTGCCTGAGGAGTTGAAGTGTCATATTTGGAATATAGCACATAGGCAAGGGAGATGCTTCCAGTTACTCATGACCATGTGGCAAACAATTTTTGCAAAAAATATGTAGCATGGAGAAGGAAAAAGGGGCTGCCTTCAGCACAGCAGGACTGAACCTGGAAGGAGACCAGAAACATCTCTCTCCTGGGTTTTTGGGACATTTTGGTTAGAAAAGTAGTGTGAGTCAGGGTCAATACTTGAATCCTGCCCAATTTCTGGCTTATGCTGAGGCTTCTGTGCATTTATCCTTGGTTTAATTAAAGCTAGGGCTAACTGTGCAGCAAAGTTTGGATCCTTCTGTTTTCTATTTCCTGCTGTATGTGGTCTTTATAGATCTCAGTTTAGAAAGAACCAGGAGCTTGTCTAGAGCTGACTTTTTCTCCTGTACATGGGAGAACTGCTCTATGCCCACTATACATTGGTCCAGAGGAAATCAGTCCCTTCTGGCTCCCCACTTCTTTCAGTTTACACTCTGTGTCTTTTTTTGAGTAACCAGGTAGGATGACAGGTATTACATAAGCATAAAACCCAAAAACACAGTAGAGGACAGGGCTGGACAAGGGAAGAGACTGGCCATTCTATCCCTAGTATGCCAGATTCTTGTATCCTAAAGCCAGACAATTCCTCCTTCTTCAGTTCAAAATATGATTTATTCATTTATTTATTTACATATTTTAAGAAGGAGAGGAAGCAATTACAGTACTATCCACACAATGGTGCTAAATTTTTATCATTTCTTTGGTGGAAGACAATAAAATGCATTCAAATTTTAAAATATGTAAATAGTGCAAGAGCAGCAGTAATCAAGCTTATATTGGATCACAGCATGCAAATAAACTAGCAACCCAGATGAATGATTTAAGACATGCACCTTGCCCAGCTTTAGCTGGTCATGCTTATTCAATGTCTGAGACACTGTAAATGGGCTTTTGTCGCCAGCAATTCACTTAATGTGCTGAAAAGAGCAATTAGGCTTTTTGTTAGCAAATGTTCCTTCCACCAGTGTAAACGTAGTCCAGGAAGGCTTCCACTTTCTTGATTTTGATAAAGAAATGGCTCCATGGGATTTTTTGCATAACAATGGAATCAAAAGGCATCTGTGCAATGGCTGACATTTTTCTGCATGCAAAAAAATTTTCAGGAAAAATATAAGGAAAATTTATAAATGACAAAGATGTACTTGAAATGGCTCAGTGATGGATTACTGCAGTACATACAACATTGGAGTATGCTGTGGTACAGAAACAAGTGCTAATTTGCTTTTAAAGCACACTTTTCATTAACTGTTTTTACTGAGTATTACTTATAATTCACAGTGTTGATCCTATTCATTCACTGACTCTGATTTAAAGAATTACTTAAGTACATACCTAATGTAAGTACTTGTGTCATCCCAGAAGGTCAAATAAGTGTTTTGAAATTGCTTCTTTGCAGGCTAATAAATAGTGCTGCTGCAGGTACAATATCAGTAGCATGAATTTTAGTAGTTGTCTATTGAAATGTGAACGTCCAGCACTTCTGAAAATCTGGAAACTACAACCCATGAAAATATGTCTGTATTGCTACAAGTGTAGAAAAGATTAAAAGACATCTGAGTTTAAGAATCTGAACTGCTTTTGTTTAACTCAGGATCCAGCACAGAAATCAGATGGATTTTGGGTGATTCCAAAATGTCTTAAACACCGGAAACATTTATGGATTAGTGAAAGGGACTTTCTACTTGAGAAAAAAAAAACAAACAAAAACAAAAACCACAAAACATGAAGGGTAAGATCTAGGATCTATATAAAGGCACTTACTGCTGAAGAATCCATGTGTTAAAATTTATCTTTTTTTCATGCTCCTGCATAGAACAAAGATAGTCTCCCTGATCTCTGCAGCCCATCACAGTTCCCAGACTTGTTGTGATGAAGATTAGGAGGGTACTAGGATCATTATTTTTCATTTTTTTCCTCCTCCATGTTTTTGGCACAGAATACACTCTAACATAGATTAATACTCTAACATTTCCATCTGGCAATATCAACCAACTTATTGATTACAAGATCCTCCTGCTATTACAAATGCACTCTAAGGTTTCAGATATGCTGTAAATTATTACTGGAAAGACTAAACAAATCAGCAAAATGAATACAATGAATAACTCTAACATATCTGTATACAGCATTCATTGTGTTATTTATCACTCCCCCCTCCACCCCTCAAATTGTGGGTCAATTATATATCCTAAAATTCCTATAAAGTGCTATTGGTTAAAATGTGACCGTCCTTATTTTGGGTCTCTCTTCATGAATACTTTAATCATCACGTTACAAACAATGTTTATTCTCTCTGTCTTTGAAATCAATATATTTAATAATCTGTCCTTTTATTTTTTTTCTTCTAGTACATAGAGACATTATCAACAGCTAAGTTGGGGTTTACTCCCTCAAATGAATATCTGAAAATCATCCATTTGGGACAGTAAAAGGAGACTGGAGGTAGGACCAATGGCTTTGAAACCATCTGCAAGTCTTCTAATCCAATTAAGAATTGTGATCACCAAAGTATTGAACAGAAGTTTTATTAAAAATAAAAATAAAAATAATAAGCATAAAATGTTTAAAAAAATCAAACCAAACTGCTTACAAATAAAAAATGAAATATATGATCCCAAATGTAAAACATTACTTTTTCACTTAATGTTCCGAATCACAGTATTCCCCTCACAGTTTTAAAGCAAATACTTCCATAAAATAATTCTTTCTTAGCTTCTCATTTGAGCCATGGGTACACACAACACATCTTTGCCACATACCTTTTTAAGTTTGATGACTCCTTCCTGGGTGTTCTCATCTGTTGTGATGTCAAACAAGTTACCTCCATCTCCTGGAACTATGTTGTACTCAATTTCTGCATTTTCCCCAAAGTCAGGATCCACAGCTCTGATTCTTCCAATAGCAGAACCAACATGAGAGGACTCGGGCACTTTCAAATGAAACATACCTGCAAGAAAGTAGTAAAATTCAATCTTGAGATAAACAACATAGCAAAAACATGGAGCCTGTACAAAATAAACAGACATAAAACATCCAATTGAAATAATGAGATCAAAAACCCAAAAGTTTAGAGGATACAAAGGATTAGATAGATCAATGTGTTACCCACCAAATATGCTAATTTCCCCTACTTGCTCATTTTGGAACAATGCGACTGCATGGATCTTAGCATCTTTCTGTCTTTCTGTCTCTCTTTTTGTAATTTACACATATGATCGACTCAACTGAACTTAATTTTACTTGCAGACAGCACATGTTTACAATGAGCATTTACTTCCTTCTATGTTCAATACAGTTTTTAGTATCTGAATTCTTATTTTATTTGAGAGCACATATCTATGCATGTCAAAGTACTTGAAAGGAAAAATTCAATAGAAAAAGTGTTTCCACCCATTACCGTAATACTCAGTATTATATTGACATGTACAACTCCTTGTGAGGGGGGAAGACATAAAAAGCTTTGTTCACCCATTGGCCACCAGAGGGCGCACTTAGTAAAATTACAGGGGCAAACGTAAATCTCCAGCTCTGCACATTTTTATTTTCCGCTTATTTAACACTAAGAGTAGAAAAAGGTAAAAACATCCAGAAAAGCATACACTTTTTTAGGAATCATTAACATGTAAGGACAAAATGTTGTCATTCAGAGAAAGAGCAATTTTGCAAAAGTGCTGGTCATAGCGATAAAAAAAGCAAGAAGCAAAGTCTGCAAGCACTTTGAGCCAGTCCTGACTTCAGTTCCATCAGGAGCTGCCCTCAGTGTTTAACATCATGCAGATGCACAGTACTGTGCAGGGCGGAGGCCTACCTTCCTCGCCCTGTCGACTGCATGTTTCATGGTCGCTGCTATACTCCTGCAGCTCCATCAGAGCAGCCCCATCAGCTTAGCAGAGCACTGACAAAGACTTTGTTCCCTGCATGTGAGAAGGCAGGAGGGCATCCACATCTCTTTCTCAGGAGTACAGGAGGACAAGCTTCTGTGAATAGTGGGGTCACACTGAGGGGACATGTCAGAGATTTCCCCCTGGCTGTTGTTTAGTCACATGTCCCACAAGAAGGTTCTGAGAAGCTATATATCTGCTGACAGGAGGACAGATGACTTCCACATCCCGCAGCTGAATTAAACAGCATACGCTGCTCCTTGTTGTTTACTCCTTACAGTGCATGCTGTGCCAGCTTTTTGCTTCTTGGTATTTCCAGGTGAAGGAAAATCTGACATTCACATTGCTGGACTAAGAGCGAACCTGCTTTTCTGTGAGCTAATAGTTTGAACCAGAGTACCTATTTAATTGACTCTTGGATTGCCCTGAAAAAATGATTTTTGTCTGCTTCCTTCCCCTATAACTCACTTTACGTAGTGTATCTGAAGGCAGTACTGGCTTTATTTGTTTGAGACAATCCCTGTAAGCAAAGTCTGCCTCTGTTAGCTCTGCATTTGGACATTATCATGTGTGGCTTTGTAGCATTCACTGACTGAACTACTAAAGATTGCGTAATTATCATTTCACCATTTTATTCTAAAGTAATGCAATGCACGGACATTTACATTTCTTGTTTTAGCTGCTGGAAATGAGCACCTTGATGTACAGTGTTATCAAGACTGTGTAGCTATTCTTTAGTTGTATTTTAATGACTCTAACAAAATTTTGATGTGGTATGCAGGAGACAATCACAAATCCTACTGTGACATAATGTCATTTGAAAATATGCTTATTACTGTGTGTCTGCTGTGGAGATTTCTTCAAAGAGATGGAAGAAAATATACCCAAGAGGGCTTCACCTACACCTGAATCCCTCTGTTACACTTTCACTGTGTAATTTCAGAAATGATGTCCATGTCTTTTACACACACTTGTGCTCATCACAGAAGTCATTGCTGCAGTGCATGCTCTTTACTGACAAATTTTTGGTGAACATAAAATGTAAGAGCATTAGATTTTTCCTTCTTTGTCTTGTTGATATATTCCTAATGAACCGAAGAGTGCTCAGATTCATTAAAACAAACATTTCTCTATAAAATATTATACCTGGCTGTAAAACATATGGGACTTAGATGAAGTCAAAGAAACACTACATTACTCATTTCAGATTGTTTAGGCCTATATCAGTTATTTTCAATGACTTGGCATTTCATCACTTCCAGAAATTCAACACCAATAAAGATAGGGTCATGCAAATTAATTTGAAACTCTGAAGTAATCCTCAGCTTTGCCAGAGTCAGATTTCTGAAGATGCAGTATGTAATTACACTGCCAGCCTTCTCTAGCAATAGCACTTTCATAGTGTGTGGGAACTACTAATTGTGCTATTTCAACAACATACTACTGGAATAAAATAAATCAGAACAAACAATGTATATTGTTGCCAGCTCAAGGAGGAATTTCAACAGGATGTAATGCATAGCATGAAAACCCTTTTTATCTTCAGAAAACAGTCTTTGTAAAGAAAAGAAGACATCTGGAGTGTTTACACATGCTGGACATAAAATGTACCGGAAAGATTATTTTGCAGATCCTTAATATTCTATTTCCAGAAGGCAGTACTTTGTGCTGTGAATTTGCTATGATATTTAAGCATTATGCAATTTTTATTGTCTATTTCTCCAGTATTGACTACTATCTCCATTTGCTATAGAGATACATTGAAACAAGCTTTCTGCTTCTGAGTGTGATTATGATTCTATGATTCTATGAATGTCCTGAAAAATTTATTCTCTGCAGTTTCTATAAATTATGGGACAAGGATCTTGGACAAACTTACGTAGCACTGATTATACTGCTTAAATATTTCTATGAAATTTTGCAGATTCTCTCATGGGTCTTCTAGTTGCATAAATCTCCTTTTAATTTTTTTTTTTTTTTTTTTTTTTTTTTTTTTTTTTTTTTTTTTTTTTTGTCATTTTGTTGCTGGATTTCTTAAAGGATGAGCAGCCCTGAGGAAAAGGACTTGGGGATCCTGGTGGATAAAAAACTGGACACAAGTCAGCAGTGTATGTTTGCAGTCTGGATGGCCAACTGTACCCTGGGTTGCATCAAATTGTCACCAGGGTGATTGTCCCCTCTTCTCTGCTGTTTGATGCCCCATCTGGAGTATGCATCCAGGCCTGGGGGGCCTCCAACACAAGAAAGACACAGAGCTAATGGAACAGGTGCAGAGAATGGCCATGAAGTTGATCAGTGGACTGGAGCACCTTTCCTATGAAGAAAGGCTGAAGGAATTGGACTTGTTTAGCTGGGAGAAGAGGAAGGGTCAGGGACCTCACTGAAGCCTTCCAAAACTTGAAGAAGCTTGAAGGAGGGAGATGAGATGAGAGAGAATGGTTTTAAACTAAAAGAGGGGAGATTTAGGTTAGATAATAAAAGGAAATTCTTTACTCAAAGGGCAGTGAGGTCCTGGAACAGGCTGTCCAGAGAAGTTGTGGATGCTTCATTCCTGGAGTCGCTCAAGACCATGTTGGATGGGGCCCTGGGCAGCTTGAGCTAGAAGGTGGCAACCCTGACCATGGCAGGGGGGTTGAAAGTGATCTATAAGATCCCAACCCAAGTCATTCTGTGATTCTATGACTCATTCTATGAGTGACAAGGGGTGTATCAAAGGAGCAAGACCTTACTTCCCTCTGACTGCCCTGAGAAGTTGAACTTTACAAATTTCAGTGATGTGTGCATGTCTGAATAATTTACACATAGAAAACCAGTGGCAACGCATACTGCACGGTCAAGATTTTGCAGTCTGTCAAAAGTGGAATCTTAAGGAAAGCAAATCATTAAATAATAGTTTTAAATTTAAAAATCATTTATCTGTTGATGTGCTTAACTTATGAAATATGTCACAACTAAATTTCAATCACACATAGTGAAGAATCCAAAGCTAGAGAAATGAAGCCCAATGATTACACAGCTTAAGCATGTAGACCTTCCTATATCAGCCCTGCCTAGTATCCTGTTATCCACACTGAAACTTTCTTGGAGTTTCAGTTTGAGCAGCATCAATGAGGATGATAAAATGAAGTCAGTGATGACACTATTGATGCTTACAGAGCCTCAAAAACATTCAAGAAGTGCAAGCGGAGGTGAGCTAACAGCTAATACACACTGCTGCAGAGCTTCTAAAACACAGTGGGAAGAAATGAGAGATAAGTGACAGGTAATCAGTCATATTGACTGAAATTCAGCACACATTTACAGTTCTTTTGACATGACTAGATTAGTTTTGGTTCTTAAGACTCAAAAGCTCTGGGACTTGATTCTCACTTTCAAAGGTGCTTTTCTGGAGTTTTCTTGTTTTCCCACAGCTGCAGGTTATTGGTACATCATCACTTAATAAAAAAACCTTTCAATTCCAATGAGAATAAGAAATGAAATCCATCATTGTATCTCGTGAGTAGAATAAGCACTAGGAAGTAACCCAGGTTAGTATCTAAGGACTTTGCATTCAAGCAAACAGTTGATCAGTAAATCTTATCTGAGCATTTTTCTCAACTGTCACTCTACATGTACTGTGTGCATATGAGATTATCCTCCACTGATTCTTCTTTGTCTATATTCAATTCTGTTCCTTAAAAATACTGCATTGGAATTAACCTTGAAAACACAAATGTTACAGTCAACAATAGTGAAATAAAATTTGATCAAAATCTCTTCTCTACTGTTTTCTCAGGGAAAAAAACTCAACTGTGTATATTATAATAATATTTTGCAAACCTAAAGAATAAAATTAAACCAAATAAAAAGATTTCCTTTAAAAATAAAACTAGTATGAATACTAGAGCTATTTTATCTTAAATTGATAAAAACATTTCAGGTTTTATCCTGAGAAGGTCATAAGGGCACCAATTTCTTTCTTTTAAAGAATAATTCAAAGCCAATGGCTCATCTTTACATGTCAGTATTATAACAGTGGAGTAAGCAAAACACAGAATACTGTGAATACAGATACTCATTTAACCTA